GACGGGCGGCGGGGCCGAAGTGAGAGGCGGGCGGGGCCCGCGAAGACGGGCGGCGGGGCCGCTGAGAACGGGCGGCGGGGCCGCAGTGAGAGGCGGCGGGGCCGCAAGCGAGGAGGCGGCGGGGCCGCGAAGACGGGCGGCGGGGCCGCGGGACGGGCGGCGGGGCCGCGGGAGAGGCGGCGGGGCCCGCAGCTAGAGAGGCGGGGGGCCGCGGAGACGGGCGGCGGGGCCGCAGAGACGGCGGCGGGGCCGAAGTGAGAGGCGGCGGGGCCGCAGCGAGAGAGGCGGCGGGGCCGCGAAGACGGGCGGCGGGGCCGCTGAGACGGGCGGCGGGGCCGCATGAGAGGCGGCGGGGCCGCAGCGAGAGGGGCGGGGCCGCGAAGACGGGCGGCTGGGCCGCTGAGACGGGTGGCGGGGCCGCCGTGAAGGGCGGCGAGGCCGCAACGAGAGAGGCGGCAGGGCCGCAGAAAAGGGCGGCGAGGCCGCTGAGACAGGCGGCGCGGCCGCAGTGAAGGGCCGCTAGGGCGGCTCGACGAAGTGAGGGCCCGGAGCGCGACTCGGGCTGAGCGCGCTTTCGGGCAGGAAAAAAAAACTCGATGTGGTGGGCCCTAAGCACAGTTCCCAAGGGGGAACCCGCTCAATACCATGAGAAGATTAGAACGAGAATGATGTGAACTATGAATGAAGCGAGTACAAATATGAAACCCTAGTTGGGTTGTACCCCCTATGGGATACCCCACTATAGCCTACACAATTGCATAAGCTATAATGTTCTAACATCGAATGTCGTCCACGATACATTCTCGACGTGCACACGCATTTCGAACCGCGGACACGCTTGTCAGAAGCCGTGACAAGCAAGAGAAACTGGAAACAATAAGCGATTAGGTCATCCTTTTGGGAGGAGGCCGCCGAGTCGTACAACTTACCCTCGTGACTACTAGATACCACAGTTGTCGTACTCGGTTCTCGGTCTCGGTTCCCGGTCTCGGTCTCGGTTCCCCATCCGCTACTAGTGCTAGTTCTAATATCTTCTTAGTCGGACCACCGCCTTTTCAGGTACAAGTGAGGTATATCCCGTAGGCCGCAATCCGTCTGACAGGCCCAGCTCGCCATTATGGCGTTTAGATTACGACCCGATTAGACCACTTGATCTCCCAGCCGTACTCGTTTCATGAATAAACCAGCTACTTGAAAATATACGCGGTAACGTCTGACTCGACCTTGTATGACTCAGAGTGCCTCTAGAAAGCTATGTCGGCCCTAAAAACCCTCGGGGAGTAACGTGAGGCTGTGCTGCTGCTCCTGCGTGCTCGTGCCACCCGTCGAATTATTCCAGCCATTAAATCTAATTTTACTAATCCCACATAAGGGTTTAAAAGATTGATCATTCATGCCATACCGTAATTGGTTGCATATATTTAAAAACAAATGCGGACTTGGTAATAAAATGTGTGTGGAAATCATTTGTATGAATAGGTCATGAAACGATTTGTATTCAAGCATGTCATATCACACTGATGCATTTACCACTTGAATATATGTGCATTGTCTTGAAGCACTGTTCTTTATTACTATTCACCATGCTAGTGTTTGATATGGTGGGCACATCACAAGCTCGGTGCTGAGTACATCCTGCTTCAAACGTAAAATGGAATCTCACGAATGCGCGTATACGTCCTCTGACGAATCGCGGTTTGTGTGTTCCTTGCGATTAATCGTGCAATGAAAACTCAGTGTTCGACTTTTAGGGCGTGATACAGAGCAAGCGCTGTTCAAGACTTGATTTTGGGTTACCCTGTTTACTACGGTAGGTTGTACCTAGGCTGGTCAAGAAGTTTTGCGCGTCTTGTCCAGCTTTTGTAACATGTTCCAAAATGTTTATTTTGACCAGATTTTTTTCACAAACCTTGTATGAACCCGGTTCAAACTTGCCTGAACGCATTCTTCGTCATTTCTATCTTGAACAGCTCTTGAATAGCTGTGTACCGCGCCCTCAGAGATGGATCCGTGGGTTTCGGTTTGGTCGGTTCCTCCCCCAATTCCTCCTTCCATTTGCGACCTCGGATGGGGTGAGTCTGGCTGGTTGGTTTGGATTTTCCCACCCCATCAATCGTGGATGGAGAATTCCCCTCCCTCCCAACGGCTAGTGCTGGAGTTGGCGAAGGTTGTGTTACCACACGATAGGTTTTCGCGAGGAGGCTATTATATACCCTTCACCAGACCAAAACTGACAGGAGAAACGCTGGAACCTGGTCATGGATACTATTCTGCGGTGTCCTATGGAGTACTGTAGTAGTAACTCACTGAACTAGGGACTCCATGGTTGTAGTGTACTCTATGGTTGGATCTTATTCAGAAGGCGAGCGATCTACTACTTCCTAACCGCGGGATGTAGCAAGAGGCAAGCGAGCTAGGTCGTCGAATGCTCGTCCAACGATACATTCTCGACGTGCACACGCATTTCGAACGCGGGACACGCTTGTCAGAAGTCGTGACAAGCAAGAGAAACTGGAAACAATAAGCGATTAGGTCATTCTTTTGGGAGGAGGCCGCCGAGTCGTACAACTTACCCTCGTGACTAACTAGATACCACAGTTGTCGTACTCGGTTCTCGGTCTCGGTTCCCGGTCTCGGTCTCGGTCTCGGTTCCCCATCCGCTACTAGTGCTAGTTCTAATATCTCTTAGTCGGACCACCGTCTTTTTCAGGTACAAGTGAGGTATATCCCGTAGGCCGCAATCCGTCTGACAGGCCATGCTCGCCATTTATGGCGTTTAAATTACGACCCGATTAGACACTTGATCTCCCAGCCGTACTCGTTTCATGAATAACCCAGCTACTTGAAAAATATACGCTGGTAACGTCTGACTCGACCTTGTATGACTCAGAGTGCCTCTAGAAAGCTATGTCGGCCCTAAAAACCCTCGGGGAGTAACGTGAGGCTGTGCTGCTGCTCCTGCGTGCTCGTGCCACCCGTCGAATTATTCCAGCCATTAAATCTAATTTTTACTAATCCCACATAAGGGTTTAAAGGATTGATCATTCATGCCATACCGTGATTGGTTGCATATATTTAAAAACAAATGCGGACTTGGTAATAAAATGTGTGTGGAAATCATTTGTATGAATAGGTCATGAAACGATTTGTATTCAAGCATGTCATATCACACTGATGCATTTACCACTTGAATATATGTGCATTGTCTTGAAGCACTGTTCTTTATTACTATTCACCGTGCTAGTGTTTGATATGGTGGGCACATCACAAGCTCGGTGCTGAGTACATCCTGCTTCAAACGTAAAATGGAATCTCACGAATGCGCGTATACGTCCTCTGACGAATCGCGGTTTGTGTGTCCTTGCGATTAATCGTGCAATGAAAACTCAGTGTTCGACTTAGGGCGTGATACAGAGCAAGCGCTGTTCAAGACATGTTTTCGGGTTACCCTGTTTTCTATGGTAGGTTGTACCTAGGCTGGTCAAGAAGTTTGAGCGTCTTGTCCAGCTTCTGTAACATGTTCCAAAATGATTTTTTGACCAGATTTTTTTCACAACCTTGTATGAACCCGGTTCAAACTTGCCTGAACGCATTGTTCGTCATGTCTATCTTGAACAGCTCTTGAATAGCTGTGTACCGCGCCCTCAGAGATGGATCCGTGGGTTTCGGTTTGGTCGGTTCCTCCCCCAATTCCTCCTCCATTTGCGACTCGGATGGGGTGAGTCTGGCTGGTTGGTTTGGATTTTCCACCCATCAATCGTGGATGGTAACGTCTGACTCGACCTTGTATGACTCAGAGTGCCTCTAGAAAGCTATGTCGGCCCTAAAAACCCTCGGGGAGTAACGTGAGGCTGTGCTGCTGCTCCTGCGTGCTCGTGCCACCCGTTCGAATTATTCCAGCCATTAAATCTAATTTTACTAATCCCACTGTTAGTAGAACGTACAAGATGTGGTTTTTTAGACGGATTAGAAGCCAGTTTCAGCCGAGCCAGCAGCAGAGCAAGCCGCGGCTCGACCAACCGTTAAGTTTCACCACCGTCTCGGACGCTGGATCCGCTAGCAAAACCAAAAGACCAGCCGTTGGATTAACACCGGCGACTGGCGGCTCGGGACCGGGACTGGCGGCGGGTTCGGGATTATGGAAGTCTATGCCGGAGGGTATACGCAAGTATTACGTGGGTCTGCTAAACCTAATTCTGCTCTTCTTAATCGCCTGGCAAGCGTCGCCTTACGCCACGAGAAGTTACGATTACCGCGGCGTGACCGGCGGCGCTGGTGGAAAGGGAATGATGACGCTAGGGAAGGACGTGCCTGTACGGAGGTAAGTGAAACAGCTTGTAACGGGAACGGCGGCAACTGTAGGCCGTCCGACAAAACTAACCTATCTTTTTTTTGACTGGCGTGTGCAATTGGAACTTTGAGGGACGAATTGTGGGATATCAACGAAATCCATTACTATGCTTCATCCCAAAATAGGACAAGTTTGTCCTGTTCATAGCTCCCGGTCCCTAAATCTTCACTCATTCACCTCCTCCTTGAACTACCCGTGTTCCTAAGTTCCACAGTTCAAATGAACGTGAAGGTCCAACCCAACCCATATCCATCCATGCAACCCCAACCGAGCCACCCCTTCCTCCCCCCCCCTCTCCTTCCTCCAACCACCACCAAACCCCGTACCACCCCCCAACTCCCTTCCCCCCTCCCCTTCTTCCCCCAACTCCTCAACTTCTTCCCGAATTCGACTTGCAGTTCCGCCGCCACCGACGCCAAGGAGGTGTCGCTGGATTCGACTCAGAAGTCATATCCTCTCCCCCCCCTTCCTCTCCTCCCCCAATTCCCCGTTCCCTTTCCGAATCCGACTCGCAGTTCCGCCGTCACCGACGCCAAGGAAGCGTCGATGGATTCGACTCAGAAGTCATATCCTCCCCCCCCCCCTTCCTCTCCTCCCCCAATTCCCCGTTCCCTTTCTGAATCCGACTCGCAGTTCCGCCGTCACCGACGCCAAGGAAGCGTCGCTGGATTCGACTCAGAAGTCATATCCTCCCCCCCCCCCCCCTTCCTCTCCTCCCCCAATTCCCCGTTCCCTTTCCGAATCCGACTCGCAGTTCCGCCGTCACCGACGCCAAGGAAGCGTCGCTGGATTCGACTCAGAAGTCATATCCTCCCCCCCCCCCTTCCTCTCCTCCCCCAATTCCCCGTTCCCTTTCCGAATCCGACTCGCAGTTCCGCCGTCACCGACGCCAAGGAAGCGTCGCTGGATTCGACTCAGAAGTCATATCCTCCCCCCCCCCTTCCTCTCCTCCCCCAATTCCCCGTTCCCTTTCCGAATCCGACTCGCAGTTCCGCCGTCACCGACGCCAAGGAAGCGTCGCTGGATTCGACTCAGAAGTCATATCCTCCCCCCCCCCCTTCCTCTCCTCCCCCAATTCCCCGTTCCCTTTCCGAATCCGACTCGCAGTTCCGCCGTCACCGACGCCAAGGAAGCGTCGCTGGATTCGACTCAGAAGTCATATCCTCCCCCCCCCCTTCCTCTCCTCCCCCAATTCCCCGTTCCCGTTCCGAATCCGACTCGCAGTTCCGCCGTCACCGACGCCAAGGAAGCGTCGCTGGATTCGACTCAGAAGTCATATCCTCCCCCCCCCCCCTTCCTCTCCTCCCCCGATTCCCCGTTCCCTTTCCGAATCCGACTCGCAGTTCCGCCGTCACCGACGCCAAGGAAGCGTCGCTGGATTCGACTCAGAAGTCATATCCTCCCCCCCCCCCCCCCTTCCTCTCCTCCCCCAATTCCCCGTTCCCTTTCCGAATCCGACTCGCAGTTCCGCCGTCACCGACGCCAAGGAAGCGTCGCTGGATTCGACTCAGAAGTCATATCCTCCCCCCCCCCCCTTCCTCTCCTCCCCCAATTCCCCGTTCCCTTTCCGAATCCGACTCGCAGTTCCGCCGTCACCGACGCCAAGGAAGCGTCGCTGGATTCGACTCAGAAGTCATATCCTCCCCCCCCCCTTCCTCTCCTCCCCCAATTCCCCGTTCCCTTTCCGAATCCGGCTCGCAGTTCCGCCGCCACCGACGCCAAGGAAGCGTCGCTGGATTCGTCCGAGTGGTCGCTCTCGGACAAGCTCGTCGCAGGGCGACCAGCAGCCGTCGCAGGCGACGCAACGGGGTCGCAGGCGCGGGGCAGCGGCGCGGCGAGCGACAGCCACGGACGCGGACAGGGAGTATCCGGCGAGGCAGGGCTGCACCGAGAGGGGGCCGCGGCGGATGGGGGAAAAGGTTCCGCCAAGGCGAAAGAAAGGCGCGAGCACGTTTGTTACACTTCCTCAGGTGAGCCACAGGATTCTGGGGTTTGGGCTTCGGGGTATGGCACTGAGAGTGGGAAGCGGCGGATGGAGGAAAAAGTTCCGCCAAGGCGAATGAGTGGCTCGAACATGGTCGATATTTTACCTTGGGTGAACCACAGGTTTCTGTGGTTTGGGTTCCTGGGTTTGGTTCAGAGGCCTGTAGGGCACGTCCATTGGACGGACCTTCTCTCTCGGGTGATTGAATATACTAGCCGTTGCTGGTGATAGGGTTGTGGAGATGTGTCACAGAATTCTGGGGTTTGGGCTCCCGGGTTTGGTTCAGAGGCCTGTAGAGCACGTCCGTTGGACCTTCTCACTTTGGTGATTGACCCCACTAGCCGTTGCTGGTGATAGAACTGTGGAGGTGTCACAGACTTTCAGGCTTCGGGAATCCGTGTGATTACACAGGTGAAGAAAGAGGTAGTCTAGTTTTGAGGCGCCTCCAAACTAGACTCATGGGATTGCACAGGTGGAGGGGGTAGTCGTCGCCCTCCTCCTGCCTCCGCTTCTAGTTTCCTTCCGCCCTTCTTGGTTCCTCTCGTCCTTTTACTACCCTCCCCTTCCCCCTTCTCTCTCCCCATCAGCCCCATGGAAGGGTCACACCCTGGTTCCGCGCAACCACCTTTCGCGCAGGGGTGGTGGTGGGCGGAAGGGGGTGTGCGCGGGTAGGTGTGCATGGCGTCATGTTCCGCATCTCCTCCCCCCGAATGCTCCCCTTTCTCCTTCCGCCCTTCCTCGGTCTTCTCTTCCCCTTTCTCTCCTTTCCCCCTTCTCTCTCTCCCCATCAGCCCCATGGAAGGGCTACCATCTGGTTCCGCGCAACCACCTTTCCCTGGGGGGGGTGGTGGGCGGAAAGGGGTGTGCGCGCTGTGTGGGAGAGCGTGAGTGTGTGGCCCACGATCTCCGTCCCCACTTCTACCCATTGTTCCCTTCTTTCGTCCAATGTCCAACGTTCTCCCCCCTGATGCTCCCCTTTCTCCTCTCCTTCCGCCCTTACCCTCCCCTTCCCCCTTCTCTCTCTCCCCATCAGCCCCATGGAAGGGCTACCATCTGGTTCCGCGCAACCACCTTCCCCCGGGGGTGGTGGTGGGTGGGAGGGGGTGTGCGCGCTGTGTGCGCGGAAGGGACTGCGGCATGCGCGTTTGGATCAACGCCCCGGCCACTTGGGTGCAGGTGGGTTTGGGATGGGTGCAGGTGGGTTTGGGATGGGTGCTGCTGGGTTTGGGATGGGTGGTGGTGGAAAAAGGACGGATGCAGGTGGGACTGGGGTGGATGCAGGTGGGAATGGGGTGGGTGCAGGTGGGAATGGGGTGGGTGCAGGTGGGTACCACATGGGTGCAGGTGGGTATCGAATGGGTGGAGGTGGGTACTTCACATTCTCTCATCCACTCAAGTCTCCCCCAACGCGACCTGGCAGAAGAAGGCCATGGCGCTCCTCCCCACAGGTCCCTCACGCACCCTCTCCCCTCAGATCTACCCCAACGCGAGCTGGTGGAAGAAGGACATGACACACATTCTCAAGGACTCACCTCTCCCTCCCATGACAATCTGCTTTCCCCTCTCCTCCCCTCATCTCCCCTCAGATCTACCCCAACGCGAGCTGGTGGAAGAAGGACATGACACACATTCTCAAGGACTCACCTCTCCCTCCCATGACAATCTGCTTTCCCCTCTCCTCCCCTCATCTCCCCTCAGATCTACCCCAACGCCAGCTGGTGGAAGAAGGACATGACACACATTCTCAAGGACTCACCTCTCCCTCCCATGACAATCTGCTTTCCCCTCTCCTCCCCTCATCTCCCCTCAGATCTACCCCAACGCCAGCTGGTGGAAGAAGGACATGACGCTTATCCTCAAGGGCCCTGCTCTCTCCCATGGGGACGTGCTGTTCACAGGATACACACTTGTTTCCCCTCCCTCCTCCCCATCCCCCCCCCATCCCCCCCCCCCCACCAGATCTACCCCAACGCGAGCTGGTGGAAGAAGGACATGACGCTCATCCTCAAGGGCCCTGCTCTCTCCCATGGCGACGTGCGCTGCCTCGACCCCCCTGCCTGCTCGCAACTCGACCTCACCTACCGCCTCTGGGACGTGGGACAGTACAAGTGCGTGCCAAGGGGTGGGAATTGGTGGGAATGGGTTAGAATGGGTTTGGAATGGTTGAGTCATCACTGGTGCAGGCAGCTACGGGGCAGAGCAGCGGGTGTGGTTCCTACTTGACCCCTCGCCTGCTCCCAGCTCGCCCTCTCCTACCGCCTCTGGGACGTGAGGCAGTACAGGTACATTCCAAGGGGTGGGCATGGGTGTGCATGGGTGGGCATGGGTTGGAACATGTGTACGCACAGTCATCCCTGCTGCAGGCAGTCAGCCATGGGGCACAGCAGAGGGCGGCATGGTTTAACCTGATACTCCTGCCTGCTCCCAGCTCGCCCTCACCTACCGCCTCTGGGACGTGGGGCAGTAGAGGCGCGTCAAGCTGTCCTTTGATGTCCTCCCTGGCTTCCACTCGGCAGTGCGTTTCCTCTCTTCCCAGGCCATTCCTGGGCGTAGGCTGCGCCAACCTGCAGTTCGCCCCCAACTACAAGCAGCACCTGAGCCTCATCCCGTTCCTCCCTTTTCCACTTCGCCCCATGCGTTCTCTCACTCTTCCCAGGGCATTCCCGAGGGTAGGCTGCGCCAATCTGCGGTTCGGCCCCAACTACAAGCAGCGCCTGAGCCTCATCTACAGCCTCTCTGTTCCGTTCCCCTCACGTGTTCGTCTCCTCTCTCCCCTACCAGGGCATTCCTGAGTGTAGGCTGCGCCAACCTGCGGTTTTCCCCCAACTACAAGCAGCATCTGAGCCAGACGCACCTCCATGTACTCACATCGTGGAACGTCACAATTGTGCCGCAAAAGAGAGACGCCGCCTGGGTTAACGGCTCTCTTGCTCTCCCTCCCACCTCCGCTGCTCCTTTTGCCTCTTCTGCTACTGACACTGCAACCTCTGCTACCACCACTGCCACTGCAACTGTGACTGCAGTGGCTGCTGTTGTGAATGTTGCTGCTACAGCCAACGTTCCTCCTGCAGCTGCTGCTGCTGCTGCGGCCACCGGCACGGGGGAAGCCCTAAACTCTGGTGCTAACAGCTATAACACTAACGGGAACAATCAAAGCGTCCCTGCCTCTGCTGTAACTAGCGAGATAAGTGAACACACAATCAGTAGCAGCAGCAGCAGCAGCAGTGTTCGCCGCTTCTTGAGTGGCACGTGGCAGGAGGAGGAGGCTAGTGAGGAGAGCGAGGCGAGCAGAGGGAGAGGAACGGAATGGAGGGGTGCGGAGGAGAGGAGGCTGCTGGAAGGGGGGGCGACGGATGAGGAGGAGGAAGAAGAGGAGGAGGAGGAGAAGCTGCCAATGACGCCGTGCCAGGTGTCAGGCATCAAGGGGCGATGGGTGCTGTCCAAGGCTGGCGGATACGAGTGAGTGGGGAGGCATGTGAGGGGCTGGGGAAAGGCATGGGCTAGGCTTTAGGGACGTACAGGTGAGATATGGGAGAGGCTTGGGAAAGGAAGGAGGATGAGGAAAAGCTGCCAGGTGTCTGGCATCAAGGGGCGATGGGTGCTGTCCAAGGCTGTTGGATACGAGTGAGTGGGGAGGCGTGTGAGAGGCTTGGGAGAGGCATGGGAGAGGCATGGGAGCAGCATGGGAGTCGCATGGGAGCAGCATGGGAGTCGCATGGGAGCAGCATGGGAGTGGCATGGGAAAGGCATGGGAGCAGCATGGGAGTCGCATGGGAGCACAGCATGGGAGTGGCATGGGAGTGGCATGGGAGCAGCATGGGAGTGGCATGGGAGCAGCATGGGAGTGGCATGGGAAAGGCATTCAAAAGGCATGAGGTTCTGGTTCTCCCAGTCACTCATCTGGTTGGGCGGCACAGCTTGGTTCATTCGAGTACTCGGATCGGCATGAATGAGTTTTTTTAGAATTCTCAAAAAGAGGTTTTCAAGTAACGCATTCTCCCAGTCGTTCTCTGGTTGGGCGGCACAGCTTGGTTTATTAGAGCATTTGGATAAGGTTGAGGCTCCCATTCTTCCCTTCCATTGCCAGAGGAGCCACGACTACCGTTGTGTGCGACCAGCTAGGTGGGCAGGGTTGCCTGCTGTCAAGGCCGCTACAGCTGTCTCGGCCTCTGCAGCTGTCTCAGCCGCTACAGCCATGTCAGCCAGCTGCCTCAGCCGCTACAGCCATGTCAGCCAGCTGCCTCAGCCGCTACAGCCATATCAGCCGCTACAGCTGCCTCAGTCGCTACAGCCATGTCAGCTGCTACAGCTGTCTCAGCCGCTACAGCCATGTCAGCTGCTACAGCTGTCTCAGCCGCTACAGCCATGTCAGCTGCTACAGCTGTCTCAGCCGCTATAGCCGTGTCAGCCACTACAGCCGTGTCAGCCACTACAGCTGTGTCAGCCGATCTCCCTCAGCTGCAAAAAAAAAAAAAAAAAAAAAAAGTCACCCACTCCTTCTGCCTCCCCCCTCCCCTTCAGCTTCCCCATGTGCACACAAGGAGCCGAAGCATCCATCAGGGTGTGTGTAGCAGCTTTTGCAACCGAACCGTCAGGATGGGTGGCGCAACTGGTGCAAAAGTGCATTCTACCAAAACGCCACCCCCTCCTCTATCCCCCCCCCCGGCAGGTGGCACTTCTACCCCGTGTGCACCCAAGGAGCCGAAACGACCTTCAGGGTGGGTGGCACAGCTGGTGCGGAAAGGCTTTCTAACAAAACATTAACCCCCCATCCCTCCTCCCCTGTTCCTTTCTCCCCCCCGGCAGGTGGCGCTTCTACCCGTGTGCACCCAGTGAGCCGAAACGACCGGCAGGATGGGTGGCACAGCTGGTGCGGAAGGGCATTCAGGAGATCAACATCGTGGGGGACTCGCACCAGCGCGTTCTGTCCTTTCACCTGAGATATCTCCTGTCAGGTGCAGTTCTCGCCTGCTCTAGTTTCACCCGAGTTGCCACCTGTCAGGTGCCTTTCTCTGTTGCTTTCCTTCCACCTGAGATACCACCTGAGTTACCACCTGGTGCGGAAGGGCATTCAGGAGATCAACATCGTGGGGGACTCGCACCAGCGCGTTCTGTCCTTTCACCTGAGATATCTCCTGTCAGGTGCAGTGCAGTTCTCGCCTGCTCTAGTTTCACCCGAGTTGCCACCTGTCAGGTGCCTTTCTCTGTTGCTTTCCTTCCACCTGAGATACCACCTGAGTTACCACCTGGTGCGGAAGGGCATTCAGGAGATCAACATCGTGGGGGACTCGCACCAGCGCGTTCTGTCCTTTCACCTGAGATATCTCCTGTCAGGTGCAGTGCAGTTCTCGCCTGCTCTAGTTTCACCCGAGTTGCCACCTGTCAGGTGCCTTTCTCTGTTGCTTTCCTTCCACCTGAGATACCACCTGTCAGGTGTTTTCTCTCCGCTACTGTCAGGTATTTTTACCTGAGATATCTCCTGGCGCACTGCTGTGTTGAGGTATTTTTGTGCCCCTCCCCTCCCCCTCCCCCTCCCCTCCCCCTCCCCCTCCCCCTCCCCTCGCTCCCCTTCCCCTCCTCTCCCCGCTCATTCTGTCTCTCTCCACCAGGCGTTGCAGTCGAGCGTACTGTGCGGTCACACGAAGACATAACTTCACTCCCACATATGAATGCAAGCAGGGAGAAACCTTTTTTCCACCCCCGCCCCAACCCCCACTCCCTCCACCACGCGTTGCAGACGAGCGCATGGTGCAGTCGCCCGAGGACATGAACTTCACAGTCACTGATGAGCGCTCACAGGGAGAAGCTGCATTTCCCCCTCCCCCTCCCCTTCCAGCCCACCCCCCCCCCCCAACAGGCTTTGCGGACGAGCGCATGGTGCGGTCGCACGAGGACATGAACTTCACTCTCGTCGGTGACATACACTAGCCTCATTCCCCTGTACCCTTTCTTCCTCTCGGCTCACTCACCCCACCCTCTCCCCCACTCCTCAAGCAGGCTTCGCGGACGAGCGCATGGTGCGGTCGCACGAGGACATGAACTTCACAGTCACGGATGAGCGCTCGAGCAAGGTTCTGCGAATCAACTTCTACTGGGTGGACGGCATCTACAGGAACCGCGAATACGGCTGCTCGTGAGTGCTCCGTCTTTGCTTCCCCTTGTCCC